TACAGGGAACATAAATTGCATCGGATCGGGACAAAACCTAGTTAAGCTCTAAATAGAATTAACACAATTAGTTAATAATGGCAACAGGGATGTTTTTATCCTGAATTTATAATTAGAGCTAATGAAATTAATTGGAAATACACATAGTTATTGGATTAAACACTATACACTCAAAAACTTGTTTTTTTAATGATGTTTTGGAAAAGTGACAGAATAAAACCAGAATATAGGAACAAAGCATACTTATAGAATACTCTGTTTCATGACTCAGGAAAGATTTCGACAGATAATGACAGAAAAAAGGCGGATAACGTCCATACCAATCGATTTATTTTATTTATGTTTAATTTAAAAGAGTTTCAAATATTTAAAGTTGACTATGGATGTGTTCATAGAGTATGTCCCCGGATTGTCTTTACAAGAGGAAAAACTTTTTTATTATTGACATTTTGAGAAAAATGCATTCTTCATAAAAAGTTTTGCTTGCTCTAAAGTGGTTAATCCCATTTATACTTTTCCAAATTTCCATACTGTTTTAGAGAAAATTAGAAAAAACATGAAAATATTGTTGAATTTTTTCTTAAAAAGTCTGAAGTCCTAAAAATAAAAAGACGTTTCTATAGTAACATCATTTGGATTGCATTCTTTGATAGATACCGTATGATCGAAAAAAAACGGCGTCCAGTTGGCTGGGAAATGAACATCGATGACGTTTCCCATATAAATTTACATATAAAATGACAGCGATCTTCATTCCATAGCCATCGCTGACGCCGTTTTTTCTCGATCATACGGTATAATTATTATTAATTTTAATTAATGTCATATTTTTTTACTGTTAAAGTATCACATTAAATACATTTTGTTCTTCTTTAACATTTACATACAGAGTGAGTCTTAAGTGCAAATATTTTTAGAGGTTGTATGTTTCCAACAGAAACACGATGAGTTTTTTTCCCAAAACTTTTTTTGGAAAATTGGGAATTTTTTTTAAAAAATTTTGGATTATTTTAGGTTTTAGTTAAAAACCATAATTTCTTGATATATGGCAACATGGTAATAGATTAAATTTAGAAGAAAGAAAATTCAGAAAACATCCAGTGGTTCTCAAAATTTAAGCAAATTTTTTTTTTGGAAATTTTCAAAGCACTCGGTTATTTTGGACTTGTTTGAAAAACAGTAAAGAGAAAATATGTTTCTTTTATTGAGATCTACCAGCCCTGAAACATTTATTTAAGACTCACCCTGTATACCGGGTGCATCTCAAAAGTGGCTCACCCCTATAACTTTTTTATTTTTTCAGATGAAACAACGAGACTTGGTATGTTAGTATATGACATAAATTGGGATTGATTGACGTATTCAATTGTTTTCGGTCACTTTCGGTTTCACCGGAAATGACTACAACTTTTGATTTTTAAATAGCACTCTCGGTATTTTTTTTACTTTATTCGATAGAAAATGACACTCTGAATCGAATGACATATCATATGTCAATTTTTGACATAGTCACTCAAAAACAAATTCTATTTTAAATTTCAATCTAGAGTGCCATGGATGTGTTAAAAACACTAATTTTTAATCAAGGAGCCTTGGAAAAATAGATTTGATCGTCTAATGTTTTTAGTCTTGTCCTGGCCGGTTGAACGAGGTTGGCTCATTAGCATATTTGGAAAAAGCATTTTTTTACGAATAATTTGATACCAGACACTTGATATTTTGAGTCAAATTGTCGTTATAAACCGCATGTTACAATTTCAAATAAACCATATGCCAAAATGTCAAAAGTTGACATATTGTATGTCATTCGATTCAGAGTGTCATTTTCTATCGAATAAAGTAAAAAAATACCGAGGGTGCCATTTAAAAATCAATAGTTGTAGTCATTTCCGGTGAAACCGGAAGTGATTGATAACAATTGAATACATAATGTTTGATTTTTTTGACAATTTATGTCATATACTAACATACCAAATATCGTTGTTTTATCTGAAAAAATAAAATAGTTATAGGGGTGAGCCACTTTTGAGACACACACGGTATAGGTACCTATATTGAGAACCACTGAATCTTTTCTGGATTTTCTTTCTTGTAAATTTAATCTACTACCTACATAATATGTTGCCATATTATCATCAAATTATAACTAAAAACTAATAAATTCAAAAAATTCTAAATTTTCAAAAATTTTTTAAAAAAAGGTTTTCGGAAAAAACCTCATCGTGTTTCTAGGGTCAAAATATACTACCCCTAAAAATATTTGCATTTATTTAAGGGTCACCCTGTATATAATCTCACTGTTACTATGTTATAATTTTATTATTTATTTTAATATTACTATGTTTAAATAAAAAAATTCACAGATTTTGCAACATGCGCAACCATCATAGGCGTATTGAAAATACCAGACACAAGTCGGCGGTTGTCGACAATCACCTGTTTTTTTTTACATTTTATATTAACTTGTGGCGTCATTTGGGAGAGCTCAATAGAAATATAAAAGAACTAAACCTTGTTCGCTGGAAAGCAATTTGACATTCGTGACGTCAGCACTCCGGCAGTCTACGTAAACGTATCATTGATCGCTATTCACAAATATATTCCAGATACGTATAGTGAAAGTGAACAAGTTTAACGTTCGCAACGTTAAATGATTTTGATGTTTGATTTTTATCGTGATGGTTTTGTGTAAAAGTGAAGAATTTAGTGAGGAAAATATTAATGATGGATATGAACGTGTGCGGATTCGTGATTGGTCACGATCACAGTCTGACTTATATGACGGGCTCCTATGCCCACGTAGAGACTAAAATATCTAAAAGGGGTCAGTTTAGCTTAAGTTTAGATTAGGTCTATATTTTTTATTAATGCAAAACCAACTAAAACCTAATTCTAATCTAACCTAAACTCACTTCTTCTTTTGCATATTTCGGGGTATTACCTGGGTATTCCTAGGTTTAACCAATATTCGAACTTAGGTGTAAATTTAAATTTATGGATGGCCCATAAATTTATATTCGCCGTACAAAAAAAAATACTTTTCACCAATTTTCACAATAAAAATTAAAAGTTATAAATCATAATATTTTTTTATAGAAATGAGAGAATAAGGGTGAACGGGGTGCCGCGCCGTTAGACCAAGAAGATACTTGGAATGTAAATGTTAATTTATACTCGAATTGAGTTGCTGTTGTTTGATAATACTTGAATTGAGTTGCTATGTTCTGATAAAAACACGCTTGATTTTTTTTATTTTAGAAATCATACGGGCTATAATAATTAATATGACTATATTAACAATACTTAAATTAAAATTTATTTGAAGGAATGCATTACAATAATTGTAAAACACGTATGTAATAATAACTCGGAATAATATAAATTATTTAAAACTGCTCATCGGCGTTATCGATGTCGGCGTCTTGTCACTTTTATTTAGTCTTGTCAGTATTATTTTATTAGCCGTTTAGGTATAGTTTGATTTCAGATAATGCAGATTTTAATGTGCCATTTATGGTTTTTTTATTGGATTTCTTTTGCATATTTGGTATATTCTATGAAGTGATTTTAAGTGCTCCTGGCCATTTTTCAATTATTAAAATGCCTATTTAAATACATTTAAAATTAATTAATTAGTGTATAATATTTGTATTATGAGTTTGTTTATTTTTTATGAGATGTATTTTTGCTACGGGCGAGAATTAAGGGGCTCAGTTCATTAAGGTGAGTTAATGTATCAGGACTGTGGGCACTCACCTTTATTCCCGTTCTGGACTCGTACCTGTTGATTTTTTGCTTGAACAAAACACTTGAGGATAGCGCGCGCTTGGAGGTGTACACTGTGTACTCGGCCGATCTTGTCACTCTGCGTATTCGACTACGGCTACGTACCCACTAAGGTTTTTCGGGTAAAGGATGGAAGGAAGGGATAGAATCCAACATACCGCCCACCAAAATGAAATATTTTCCATTTTCGTTTGAGAATAGTAAAGTAAAATAAAAAAAAAGTGAAAAAATGCTTAAAAGAAAGTAAGAGTGAAATTTATGAAGTTAAATTTAGAGGAAATTTAGAAAAATGCATTATTGGGGTTAATGCATGAGTGTAATTTAATTAAATATTAAGAGAGTTTACATTTGTTATAGAGTATAGAAAAGTAATTAAATAAGAGATGTTAATTATGTTTATAATGAGATTATGTTTTTTTTGCGATTATGTTTTTTTTAGAGAGTAAATTTTTAATTATGAGATTTGCAGTACGGCAGTGGACATATCTTTGTCACTGGTCTTTTAAGAATGCCTTTTGCTGTTTTTAAAGTAACCACGCGTGTAACACGATCATGGCCCGGGTGAATCTCTAAGACTCTTCCAATGCTCCATTTGAGCGGAATAAGATTATCATCCTTTATTAAAACAACCGAGTTTATTTCTATTGGAATAGTAGAGTCATTCCATTTAGCTCTTTGTAAAAGTGTTTGAAGGTATTCTTTAGACCATCGGCTCCAAAAGCTTTGGTGCAAGCGTGATATCAACTGCCAGCGAGAGAGATGATTTAATTTTATCCCGGAAAGATCATCTTTCGGAGGGGCGTTTAACGGCTCTAGGGTTAAAAAATGTCCTGGAGTAAGAACTGACAAATCATTAGGATCAGAGCTTTGTGGACACAATGGACGAGAATTAAGCACTGCTTCTATTTGAACCAGTAGCGTATAAAATTCCTCATACGTGAGCAATTGGTCACCAATGACCCTTTTAATGTGAGTTTTTACAGACTTTATTCTTGCTTCCCACAGGCCACCAAAATGAGGCGCGCTTGGAGGATTGAAGTGCCAGGAAATTTGTTCTTGCTCAGCGGCGGATTTTAGCATATTAATCAGTTCTCTAGAAGCTCCGACAAAGTTCGTTCCACAATCGGAATAAATATGATTGCAGCGACCTCTACGAGAAATGAATCGACGCATTGCACCCAGAAAAGTCTCGGAGGAAAGGTCGGAAACCAGTTCTAAGTGCAAAGCTTTGTGGCCATGCACACAAATAAGCAAATATAGGCTTTACAGGACTTAGCACCTCGTGCACGATATCTTAATAAAGAGAATGGACCACCATAGTCGCATCCAACTTCAGAGAAAGGTTTTACTTGAGAAAGTCTTACAGCAGGAATATCTCCCATAATAGGAGGCTGAGGCATTACTGGATTAGCGCGAAAGCATTGAGGACATTTAAAGAGAACACTACGAATTGTTTTTCTAGCAGAAACAATCCAGTATTGTTGAGCGAGAATATAGTGAAGAGTTTGGGGACCGGGATGCAAATAGAGTTTATGAGTATATTCTATGAGTAGAGTAGTAAATTTATGATTATTGGGTAAGAGTGCGGGATGTTTTTGAGAGAAATTTAGAGAAGCATTGCGCAAGCGACCACCAACTCTAAGAATTCCATTGGTGTCGATAAAGGGGGTCAATTTTCTTAAGTATTTAGGTAGAGATTTGCAATTATTTATTAAGAGAATTTCCCTAGCATAATATTGTGATTGAACACATTTAATAATACATTCTAGAGTTTCATTTATTTCAAATTTCGAGAGAGGAGAGGTTTTACGAGATTTAGAATGTCGAGTATTATAGAGAAAGCGTCTGCAAAACGTGACAATATTTATAATTTTAGAGAAAGAAGAGAACTTTTCAAAGAGAGTATCAAACAATGAGGGCTGTGAAGTACATGTCAATATAACTTTTCGTTGTTCTTCTTCAATTTCAGGGGAGAGTAAAAGTGATTGCGGCCAATAAGATTCCGGTTGACTTAGCCATGGAGGTCCCGCCCACCATAAGGCATTGTCGAGTAACTCGCTAGGTTGAAGACCACGAGAACCTGGATCAGCGGGGTTGTCTTTGGAGACTACATGACGCCAACAAGAAGGAGGTAATTTCTCTTGAATTTGGGAAACTCGATTGCTCACAAAGGTGTTCCACTTATATGGTTCACTTCTAAGCCAATGTAAAACAACCATCGAGTAGGACCATATAATCGTACTAACATTAATAAGTTTATTAGTAAGAGAAGTTCTAACGAAATCAATTAACCTGGTCAGAAGTAAGGCTGCACAGAGTTCCAGTCTTGGAATTGAGATTTTTTTGAGTGGAGCTACTTTGCCTTTAGCGCAGACATAATTTGTTTTTACAGAGTTATCTGGAAGAATTATCCTGAAATAAATTACTGCACAATAGCCTTTTTCACTGGCATCACAAAAACCATGTACTTCCAGGGATAAATATTTGAGAGTGAGAAAATATCGAGTAACTTTGAGAGAGAAAATGCAAGGTAATTCTTGAACGAGTTGATACCAAGAAGTAGCAATGTTATTGGGAGCAGATCATCCCAATGTATACCTAACTTCCACAAATCTTGTATAATCAGTTTTAGGTGAAGAGTGAGAGGAACTCACATGCCACAGAATGGATCGAATATGCTTGCGAGTTGTGAAAGAATATTGCGTTTGTTACAGATTTTGTTTGTCAAGGACAACGCTGGTGAATCAAAGAAAAATTCATCTGTAGAGGGATTCCAGTTAGAACTTTAGAGGAAGAAAGAGAATTCAATTTAAAGAGAGAGAAGAATCCATTTTGCATTCATTTGGAGATAACTGAGAAAGAAAATCTGAGCTATTCTAAGTCCATTTTCTAAGTTCAAAACCGCTGTGTTTGAGTATAAAAATGAGATCGCGTTGAATTTTTATAGCAAGAGAAAGAGAATCGCAACCAGATATAATATCATCGACATACGTCTCCATATCTAAAATCTTTGATGCTTCGGGATATTTTACTAAATTTTCTAAAGCAATTTGTTTTATAACTCGAATGGCTAAAAATGGGCTACAGCTTAAACCAAAAGTAACACGAGTAAGTTTGTATTCTTGAATGGGCTCATTAGGGTAAAATCGCCATAAAAATTTTAGGTATTAAGTATGATTTTCATTAACAAGAATTTGACTAAACATTTGTTTAATATCGCTAGCAAATACAATAAAAAGCGATCTAAATCGAAGCAAAATAGATAAAATATCTGACTGTAATTTTGGCCCAGTTAAGAGAGTGTCATTCAAAGATTTATTTGTGTAATCTCGAGCGGAAGCATCAAAAACAACTCTAAGTTTGGTCGTGAGACTATCTGGTCGGATTACGCAATGATGAAGCAGATAATAAGAATAAGCGTTGGGAGAAGGATTTTGCACGGCAATCATATATTGAGAATCTAAATATTCACGCATGTAATTAGAATATTGAGAATAAAGTTGGGGGTTTCGAAGCAATCGTTTTTCGAGCGAGAAAAATCTACGAAGGGCGACATCTCTAGAACCTTCAAAGACGGTTCCAAAGTTTTTAAATGGTAAAAGATACTTTTATAACGTCCAGAAAGAGTGCGTGAAAATGTTTTACAAAAAGTGTTCTTCGGCAAGCTTTTCATCTGAAGAAAGCGTCGAGAGTTGTGGAACACGATCCTCTATCCCCAGAATGCTTTGAAGTGATTGATCAAGGAAGCATAAGAGGTAAGAAAGTATGAGTTTACAGAGAGTGAAACACTAGATGTTTTAACTCTTCCTGTAATTATCCATCCAAATATAGTTTCTAAAGCGACGGGTTGATCTGGATCTGAGAGGAGTTTGTTTCCTGTTATCAAGAAACCATAAATATCTGCACCCAAAAGTATATCTACGGGTTTAGAGAGGTGAAAGTTGGGATCAGCTAAGGGCAATTGAGAAAACTTTGAGAACTGTTCAACGGGAAGAGAATTAATCGGTAAATTATCACTAATTTCGTTTAATATAATAAACTCCAAGGAGTAGATCGGATCAGACTTTCCAATAGGTTTAATGTTGCATCTAACACCGTGAGAACCTTTGGAAATATTTTTCCCGATGCCACACAATTGGATGGGGAGGAAAAATTTAGATAAACCTAATTTATTAAAACAAGATTTTGAAATAAAGTGACTTTCACTTCCACTGTCAATTACAGCGCGTATTACATGAAAATTACCCCACGCATCTTGAACATTGATTAATGCTGTAGAAAGAAGAGCTTTATTCTTATGTTTTGCAAATAAATTTGTAGATACAACTTCTGAGATAGAGCTGCTTGCTTGCAGAACTGGAAGAGTTTGCGATGAAGTGGATGGAGGAACGTTTACAGGAGTTGTTATTTGACCTTCGAAATGTAAAAGCGAATGATGTTTTTTGCCACAAGTTCGGCATGAGGAACGAGAATTACAACTCTTAGAAGAATGTCTAGTGCCGAGACAGTTTGAGCACCAACTTCGGGATTTAATTAAATCATATCTCTGTTTTGGAGTAAAAGCAATAAAATCTGGACAGTTATAAATAAAATGATCCTTGTTACAAACTTGACAAGTTAAATTTTGTTTCAACTGAGTGTTGACAACAAAGGAAGAGGTAGGTTTATTTTTATAACTTTTTTGTGAATACTTCGTTTTAGTTTTGTCATAATTACTATTTTTATTAAAATGAGAAAACGATTTAGTTAGAGAGATTGTATCTTTAGCTGAACATTGTTTTTCTAAAAATTCAATGAGTGTATCGTATGATTTGAGGTATAGCATATCTTGTGATAAAACAGAGCCACATTCCAGTTCAAAATTAGTTTGCAAAATTTCTGGAAGTCTATCATAAATCATATTAAATAGCACAAAACTCCAGCTCTCTGTGGGAAAACCCAAGTTATTTAAAATTGTAATATTACGAGTATAAATATCAATCATATTTCTTAGAGCTTCATGATTATTTTCGTTAGAGATGGGCTTAATATTTTCTAGAGCCTGCCAGTGAGCTTTTGCAATCAAACGTTTCTTATCGTACTTATTTTTTAAGGCTTGATATGCTATATTATAATTTTGATTGGCAAGTGGAGTACTAGATACCAAAGCTAAAGGAGGACCTCGTAAGAAACTCACTAGATAGTTGTATTTCGATATATCACTAAGAGACGAGTTACAGTGTATAAGAGAATCAAACATATCGATAAATGTTTGCCAATGTTTAATTCACCATCAAAATGGGGGTACCCCCTCAATTTTAGGAAGTTTTACTGAACATTGAGCAGTAGTGTTTTGTAATTGTGTTGTATCAGCTCCGATTTCGTTTGCGGAAATAAATTTGTGAATAATGCTTCAATGTGAAAATAATAATCATTAAATTCAGTTTGAATTTTGACATGAGGATCAATATCGCCATTATCCTGTGCGGAGACTAATAAAATTATATTATTATGAATCTTATTAAAAGTTTTATAAATATCTTCTAAGTGTTTTGCTCTACATCTAAAGTTAGGGTGAAAATTTGGATCTTCAAGAGCTTGATCAGCGGATTTTTTAAGTTCTTTAATTCTAGTAAGTTCTACAGAGCGTTGAGCTATAAGTGTTTTTAATTTGCGAGCGTCTGCAGACATAGCGAAAATGAGTATAATAATTAATTAGAGCGTAAGAGAGAAATGGAATGCTATAATGTGAGAAAATAAAATATTGAATATAATAATAATTAACTGAGAGAGAGAGAATGATATATTCTAAAATAGAATATTATATGAGAAAATAATTATTATATTTTCACCCCATAAGGTGAGAAAATAAAATATTATAGAATATAATAATTAACTGAGAGAGAGAGAGAGAATGATATATTCTACAATAGAATATTATATGAGAAAATAATTATTATATTTTCACCTTATAAGGTGAGAAAACAAAATATTATAGAATATAATAATTAACTGAGAGAGAGAGAGAGAGAGAGAGTAATTAATTAAGAGAATAAGAGAGAAATAGAATAATTAACTGGGAGAGTGTATGTGCGTGTGTGTGTGAGAGAGAGAGAGTAAGAATGATATATTCTACAATAAAATATGATATGAGAAAATAATTATTATTTTTACTAAGGTATAATAATAATTATTATTTATTAATTAAAAATTAAATTATTAAGAGAGAGAACAGAGTAGAGTTGAGACTAAATGCGTATCGATAAATTTGAGCGTGAAAAAGAAATATCCGGACCAGTATCGCGAAACAGCGCTAGATATCGCTTTTAACACCGGTACGGCAATTTAAAAATCGATCGGTCGGTGGCAAATTCCTGGCCAGTGGAACCAGTGACAAAAAATGTACTACCTTTTTTTACTGCGTTAAAGAGAAGATAAATATAGATTTTGTTCGAGAATTTATTTTATTGAATATATTTAAAATAATATATTACAAAAATATTAATGATATTTAGATAATTTTGAGAAATTAATTATGATAATCAATTTAATTGAGTATAAGTAAAATATGTATGTAGTTCAGAAAGGGATCTGCGGCGGAAGGACCAATGTTACGGGCGAGAATTAAGGGGCTCAGTTCATTAGGGTGAGTTAATGTATCAGGACTGTGGCACTCACCTTTATTCCCCGTTCTGGACTCATTACTTATGACCGATTTTTGCTTGAACAAAACACTTGAGGATAGCGCGCGCTTGGAGGTGTACACTGTGTACTCGGCCGATCTTGTCTCTCTCTCGTCACGCTGCGTATTCGACTACGGCTACGTACCCACTAAGGTTTTTCGGGTAAAGGAGGGGAGGAAGGGATAGTATCCAACAATTTTTTTCCCATTAAAATAAACATAGCTTACTAAATCACTAGCTAGCCATTTTTAAATACAGGGTGTTAATTAAGTATCTGGCCAAACTTCAGGAGGTGCTTCTTTGAGTGTTTTAAGGTAAAAAGTTCATATAAACATGTGTCCGGAAATGTTTAATTTTAAAGATACAGGGATCAAGATGTTTTCTAATAGACCTTTTTTATCCCATAGATCCGTTGGCCGATTTTGTTGAAAGTTCGCCATGTTGTGAACTTTGATAAGTTAGCACTAATTAAATGATAATTATTGTTTACAACAATATTCAAAGGATAAATCTTATCCCAATAAATATTTGGCAACGCCTTGGATTCATGTGTTTTTACGCCTGTTGGCGGTGGAAACCATGCAAGCTTTTTCTTTGGCCAAGTTGTTAATTAAAAAAATAATAATCATAAAAAATATAGGTCCTAATAGCCTAAATTTTAGCAAAATGTATCAGCAGATCCGATGAGATCCGAGTTATTATGTTTTGGAACTTAATGATTTAATTAATTATTCCCTTTAATGCATTTACCTATCCTAGGCGCCAAGAAAAAATATTGCATTAGTCTAAATTTATTATTTATGTGATTCCACTCTTTCACGTAATTTTCCACTAAAACCACTTTCCACAAATTCCACTATTTCACATAATTTGCCCCTTGCTTCTCATACGGAAAGAGTTAGATTAAAATAGCCAAACTGTACCTAACAACCCATATGCCTTGACGCATATTCTTTTTTATAATAATATAGGCTTTCTTTATCCGCCGACTCAGACATACATCCATATTCATAAAATAGTTGGCCCACACACACACTGATAAATTAATAAGACCTCATTTCGGCCCTCAAACGTCCTTCGATGATCAACGCTGGCTAAACTATCGACTTACGTGTTGACAAGTTGATTAGGCAGGTTATTGAACTCGTGTGGCACCGAGCATGTCGTTTTTCAAAAGATGGGTCCCATATAAACGCGTCAAGTAAAGTCAATACTAAAACAACTTTAAAACAAAATATTATTTGTTGTGCAGTGATTTGCATACTATTCCTCAAAATATGCATTCATTGACTGCTCCACTTTAAAAATGGTACACTTAGCATAAAATAACGTGCACTGTGTTAAAAAACCCTATGTTCTGAGTTAAAATAAAAAGCACGGTACGCATAATTTTTTAGATGGCATATTAAAAACGTGTTTAAATAATCTGAAATCCTATACCTACTTCGAAGATTTATAAGTATTTCAGGTTGTTTAGTATTACAAATATTTTTGATACCGTTTTTCAATCAATATTTTGGTTTATTCCCAAAATTCAAAAAAAGAAATTTATTAACAGGTATACAAGGGTGAGTTTTCTACGATGTTCTCTATGGGTATCGGAAGCTACTGGAGATAGAGAGTCAGTTAAATGGGGAAAGGATTGCAGTTTTGTGGGGTCATAAATATGCGCTTTTCAGATTTCCGAAAAAGTTCATGGCTTACTAGATATTTCGAAAAAAACAAATTTTGGCTATTTTAAAAATTGTCCCTAATTCCATTATAATCTATTTTAGACAAAAAGTTTTCAGATAAAAGTTGTAGATAATCACATCCCGAATGAGATTGTGTTCTCCGATTTTTTCTAAAGCCTGTCATTTTTGACATATGACACAAACATATATTTTTTAAATGGAAACCATAGTTACCATGAGCGCTATTTTTTAAGATTTTTAGCGATATGAACTATAATATGTTTTTTTCGAAAAATTACTGAGTTATAGTTATAGTTAGTTATAGAGAATAATTATGATATAAATGATTTTAACATTTCATTATGGGGGGAGTGTTTGACATTTCTGAGAGCAAAGACGATTGAGCTTTCCATTGCTAACTAAGTGAAATTGTTTAAAAATGATAAGAATTCGCTATAACTATTTTTCAAAAAAAAAAACATATTATAGCTTATATCGCTTAAAAGATGGCGTTTTTTATGAAGACATGGCCAACTCTAAATTGTTTTCAGCATTGCGACGTTGCCGCTTATATAAAAAATTCCTAACAACTTTATTTTTTAAATGAAACCCTGTATATTATTGCATTTTTGGATTATATGTAAAATTCTAGCATAACGCTGAATTTCATCTTTAAGCTGGAAAACAGTTGAAGTTAGGTATAAGGAACATTATACATGAAATATGTCTCAATTTACATACAATCCAAAAATGCAATATCTCAAGTGTTCATTTCAAAAAAATAACAGAGATTTGATCGTGACTGACAGGGTGAAAGAAAAAACTAAGGGTAAAGCAATCACCACACAGGCTAATAAACTTCACTAAAAATTTGTAAGTTTGACTGAGTCAGTGCTTAAAAACAACATCCTCTGCACAAAAAGGCCTTAAAACTAGCATCATATGACATTGGAATACAAAGAAATTTCCTTTATAAAATATTAATATACATATCCAACGACATTTACTTACTTTTTTACTCAGTCACTATTTAATCAAACAGTGACTCAGTCAAAGCTAACAATGTAGAAATTGTCTTCAATAAATTTTATTTTTTTTTGTTTTAAAAAAGTAATGTCGTTGGATATGTATTTGTATTATATAAAGGAAACTCTTGTAACCAATATCGCTATAGTTACAGGCTGCTGCAGAAAGAATGTTGTTGCCAATGTTTTAGTCAAACACAAGAAACTGAAAAAAGCTATTTTAATAACGCAATGATGACTATTCAGCTCAAACTTCCATCACACTAAGGTACGAGGTTTTTTTTACATATAGTTTTCACTAGGACTTTTGATATAAGCGGCAACGTCCGCAATGCTAGAAAGTATTTTAGATCGATAGAACACGTGGAAAATCTATGACGACAAAATTTCAGAAGAATACACCATCCCGTTTTCCATAACGTCTAACCTAGCACCGACCGTCAGCGCTTATGCTTAATAAATAAATCAGTTTATTATAGTAAGCACACCACCGAAATATGGACTTGCATAACACCACAGTTTATTTGGGTTAAATATCACCGTATAGCAAAGTTTACCTTTGGCTTATAGTTTGGGCAAATGGGTTAAATCAGCTGAGCCCCATTTGAAATTAATACTTAAGCAGCGACCTTTGTGTTCAATTAAAACAATGATGTTTTCTAATTTGATGCATTGAGTTTAACATAACATCTCCGATAAGCATTTACTTTTTAATTTTTAGTAATCAAAATTTAATTATATTCCTGCTTGTAGTAGGTAAAATAAATCGGGCTACATAGCAATACGCCCGTACTATGCAACTATGCAATTCGGTATATAAGCTAAATTGTTTCTTATCACAAATCACTTAATCTAAACAAGAAACGGACTCGGTGTGTG